GGGAGCCCGATGCGGGGCTCGATCCCAGGACCCTGGGATCATGACCTGAGCCGAAGGCAGACGCTTAACGACTGAGCCACCCAGGCGCCCCTGATGGTGGCTTTAGACGGCAGTCGCGGTGGAAGAGGTATTGAGCAGGACACTTAGCATATGTTTAGGTGGCACAGATATTTGAAAGGTGGTTGTGAAGATTAAATGAGCTAATAGTTGAGGCGAGCATAGCCCAGTGCCTGGGACACAGCAGGTGCTGACAGCAGAGCTGCTGCTGTTGCCCTTGGCCTCGTTGTCATCACTGCTGCCGCCAGCAGGGCTATTTTAATCTCTTGTACGAGAAAGAGAGAAAGACACATAATGAGTCTTCTGTTCATTAGTGGTTGCAGAGGGAGCTGAGACTTATCCTGGTGCTGTAACTGACTGTATTAGTCAACATGTATATAAAGATAGACATAGAGGGGCGCCTGGGTGGCTCTGTTGGTTACGCATCTGACTCTTGATTTTGGCTCAGGTCACAATCTCGGGGTCCTGGGATTGAGCCCCATGTCGGGCTCCACGCTGAGCACAGAGTTTGCTTGGGATTCACTCTCCCTCTGCCCCCACCGCCCCCCAACTCGTACATGTGTGTGTGTGCTCTCTCTCAAATAAATAAATAAAATCTTTAAAAAAAGATATACATATATATATATATATATATAGTTCTTGTATATATGTATAAGTTCTTAATTATTTTGAATCTCTAGTCACTTCTGTTCACCTCACTTTTTGGTTTGGTATGCGAAATGAACTCATAGGGACAAGAGAAGTTTATTATGTCTGGAGTGCCGATTATGTTGCAAGCATCTTACTGTGCAGATAAACTGTATTTACTGCACAACAAGGTGTGCTTATCCCAAGTCTACAGCTAATAAAGCTGAGGCCTAGGGAAATTGCAAAACATCTGCCGGATATAGTACTCTCATGCATTTTGTTGCTAACCACCCAGATTCATGCAGACCCCATAAGTCAAGGGCACAGGCTCCAACAAGACCGCCCTCACCGCAGGTGCCAGCCACAAGTTTGGGGGTTCCCAGGCCCTCTGTACTTCTGATCAACTGGCTTCAGTTTTGATAATTTGCTAGGATGACTCATAGAACCCAAGAAAGAACTATCCTCACTGTCATAGTTATTATAAAGGGTATAGATCAGGACCGGCCAAATGGAGAGACACATAGGGCAAGGTCTGCAAGTGTCCTGAACATAGAGCTTCCATGCCTTCCCCCATGGAATCAGGGCACATGATCCTCCTCGCACATTGATGTGTTCACCAACCGGGAAGCCGCACCAAACTTCATTGTCCAGAGATTTTACTAGGGTTTCATTAGGTGGGCATGATTGAGCCATTGGCCACATGACTACACTCAATACCCAGGTCTCCTTCCTTCCCTGGAGGGAAGGGAATACCATTCCCAGGAGATCGGAAGGTCCGGCTGATAGCAAGTAATTCAAGGCCCCAAGTCTCTAATTACATGGTTGATCTTTCTGGCCTGGCCTCATCCTGAGCATAAGCTATCCAGGGGCCCACCATGTTACCTCATTGGCATAAACTGTCAGGGCCCCCATGAATAACACAGATCCTACTATCACTTGGGAAAGTCCAAGGATTTAGAGGTTCCCTCCCGGACACCATGGACAAAGATCAGACAGATTCTTTATTATACAGCCCAGGTTCACACCTCTAATGAGTGTTGGAGCCAGGATTCAGTCCAGTTCTTTCTGATTCCAAAGCCCTTGCTCTATACACTACTCCATTACTGTTAATGCCCTTAGAAAAGTGGTTTACTTAAGGTCACACAGCTAGTTACTAACAAGAGGGCCTGGCCCTCAAGCCTGACTACCAATGTGTGCTCCTTTCCGCAGTTCAATTTTATTTTTTCACGTTGGGGCAGATTTGACCTGTTCTTGTAAATTTTGCAATGTGTATAGCAGGCACAGTTGGTGAAAAGATTGGAGCTTTTGCTTTCATTTTTATTTCTGCAATTGCAGAATATTGCTTCCTAGCTAAGCTCTATCAGTTGTCAGTGTTTGTCATCATTTAGTTATAGTTTATTCATAAATTTAAAAATGAAGTGAAAAAATTCAATCAGTGCTTCCAACATTTAAGAAGATTATAAATCCTTTTTGGTTTATTGTTTTCCTTTTAAAAGTAAGAAATATTGTTAGAAGAAAATCAATCCATTGTTATTTGTAGCTAACATGGTGCTATTGTTCTAATATTTGACTTAATTTGTGTATCTATCTCTGTTCCCAGGTAGCATCCACTGTATTTTCCATGCAACTGGGCACCATTACACTTGGAAGAAGGTTACCACAACGGTGCACAACATTATCGTGGGCAAGTTGTGGATAGATCAGGTAAGCAAAGGTGCCCAAAGTTCAGAAGAACACATTCGTAGGTACGTCTGTGCAGTATCAAGGACATGTGAACTGGCCCCAGACTATTGTTATGGATTTACCTGTTTCTCCTAAGGAATTGCTCTCAGCCAGAAGCCCTACCCCGACCTCCCAAGTTTCTATACTACAAATTATTTTTTGTAAATGACCAATTTATAACATTGATTCCGTGACTACTCTACCAGGGCTGTGTTGGCTACTATGAAAGTACAACAGAATAATAAACACGGCTGCTACTCTTCATCCTTTCATTATTCATCAGACATTTACTGCTAGGCAAAGTGCCAGGTCTTGGGGACACAAAGCCAGATAAGACATTGTCCTTCAAGAATTATCGTATCATTGCAGATAACATGACAAATATGTATAGATTGAAAAGTATTAACAAAATACGTTAGTGTTAAGAGCTGTACTAAGATAACATCTAATTGTCAGTCTGCTCTTAAGACAATGGTTGCAGTAAATTCAGAAAAGGAATACTGTTTTTTTTTTAAAGATTATATTTGTTTGTTTATTTTAGAGAGGCGGGGGCAAGCGAGGGGAGGGGCAGAGGGAGAGGGGAGAGAGCAAGAATCTCAAGCAGATTCCACACTGAGCACAGAGCCCAGTGCAGGGCTTGATCTCATGACCCTGAGATCATGACCTGAGCCGAAACCAAGAGTTGGACAGTTAACTGACTGAGCCACCCAGGCACCCCAAGCTGAGTCTTAACGTGGTTTGGGATTTAGAAGATAGAAAGGAGGAAAAATGAATAAAGTGTAGAAAGGCCCACCATATGTAACCTTGGAATCCTGAGTAGAGTACTTTGATTTAAGCACAAAGTTGATGAAGGGTATGAGTGGGGGGTTGGTTTGGAAAGGTAAATTATTATGTGAATATTAACATATGTGCTGAAAGGCAAATCATGCCACCTAACACGTGACACGTGATTGACAGAAAGCCAGAAGGCCATTTGGTCTTGATCCTAACCTGGAATACCAAGGTTCCAAAGGGATTTCACAGCTTTTCGGAGTCGGCTGAGACCCTTAAGCAAGGGAGTCTGAGAGTACATGATGGAAAAGTGAAGAATTATGAGGCATGGGGTCTGGCAGATATTCAAGTCCTCCGTTCTTAATAAAATCAATCCATGATGCTTTTTATTTTATAGTCTGGTGAAATTGATATTGTGAATCACAAGACGGGAGACAAGTGCAATCTTAAATTTGTTCCTTATAGCTACTTCTCTCGTGATGTAGCAAGAAAGGTAAGAGAAGTTGGAGTTTAAATGTTTTTCCTTAGTGTGTGTGCCTTAGAAATCCTACTCTTTGGGGGCTGGTGTAGATGATAGATGAAGAGATAGTCTAAACGTGTATATATATATATCTCCTAAATATGTATGTGGTGATTTGAAAAAAAAAAAAAAAAAAGGAGAGGTAAAGGAGAAGGTCAGTAGGAAGGGGGACTAGATTGCATTACCAAACTAAATCATTGTCTTTTCTGGTAAAGACATTAAGTAAGAAAGTGAAAGTCAAGAGCAAGGAGAGATTGAAAATGGGAACACAGAGGAAGGACCAGTAGGATTTCAGGAAGAAGGATGGGCGGTTTGACCACTGTGAGGTCTAAGCGCAAGTCCTGTGTCACCACCACAGCGGAATTGCATCATGAGTTTGATGGAGAGTGAAGAAGATCTGGGGATTTAAATCTGTCTGTGGCTGTCTCTGAAGAAAGAAGGAAATACCAGAGAGAAGAGAATATCATAGAGAGAAGAAAGTACCATAATTCTGAGTACCATTCAGATCATTTTCCTGCATATATCATTGCAACAATAATCCCTGTACAGCAAAATGATGAAACCCCAACTCATGGCTCATTTACTTTAAGCAGCTCAAAAAAGTATACCAAAATAATTTGGGTGCTCCGTGGTGTTTGTTGTAGCAAAATTTAATAACCAGTATTGACTGTAGGACTTTTGTTTCCAGACTAGTCAGGTAAGCTAACCCACAGTGAATGCTGTACTCCAAAGCCCTACTCTCCATCCTTATAGGTGACAGGGGAAGTGACAGATCCATCAGGAAAAGTTCACTTTGCCCTTCTGGGGACGTGGGATGAGAAAATGGATTGTTTCAAAGTACAACCAGTCGTTGGGGAGAATGGAGGTGATGCTCGGCAGAGAGGCCATGAGGCAGAGGAAAGCAGGGTCCTGCTATGGAAAAGGAACCCTTTACCGTGAGTATCAGTATGCATGCTGTCCAGGTAGTACTTTGGCCTCATCCTTGGAGCAGTACTGATGGCATTTCTGCCTTCCTTCCTGCTTAATTATGTGAGGGATCAAGCCAGGGAACTCAGAACCTTTGGAGGGATTACCAGAAGGCTGTCATGGTATGATTTGAGTTGTAATGTGCCTTGTCAAGAAAATTGAAACTAATCAAGTCACATCTGCCAAAAAATATTCATAATTTAGAACAAAATGATTCAGAAGCAGCTAGAGGAGAAAGATGCCTACCACCTGTTAACGACTTAGCCCGAAACCCAGTGGCAATATAAAGGTCCCTGAGGTCATGTACTGGAATTCGGAAATAAAATGGAGTCCATTTGTCCCCTGTCATCTCATATGTTCAGTCTATAGTAAGAGCCGAGATTATCCCCAGAAAGAGGTTAAAAAGAAAGCAAAGGAAATAAGAATAAGGAATTTCCATTTAGTAGAATGTTTCATTCTTCCTAAGGAATTTCTTCCTAATCTCCGCTGAGCATAGCAGAAGCCCAGCAAACTCGCGGAGCGAGTGACACCAGGGGAGGGAATGGGGAGCAGTCCAGTCTGGGTCTCTGCATGAGGGGAACCTGCCCTGGTCCTAGAGTCTGTCTGTCTGTAGAACAGCTTTGGGGAGGCCGTCTTTTGGCAGTGTGCTTTTAACAAGGGGGCTCTGGCATCACCCTTTGTCTTTCTCATCCTTTACTTGTAGGAAGAATGCAGAAAACATGTACTACTTCTCCGAGCTTGCTCTGACGCTCAACGCCTGGGAAAGCGGCACCGCCCCCACAGACAGCCGATTGCGGCCTGACCAGAGACTGATGGAAAACGGGCGCTGGGATGAAGCCAATGCTGAGAAGCAGCGCCTGGAGGAAAAGCAAAGACTTTCCAGAAAGAAGAGAGAAGCAGAAGCTATGAAAGCCACAGAGGATGGTAACGAACCTGTCTTCCACTCTCTCGATGGGTGGAGAATCACTTGGTGTGTTTCTGGCTCTCATTCTGTTTTTCTTTACCCGCTTTCCCTTTTAGGCACTCCCTATGATCCCTATAAGGCGCTGTGGTTTGAGCGGAAGAAGGACCCTGTTACCAAGGAGCTAACCCATATTTATAGGGGAGGATACTGGGAGTGTAAAGAAAAACAGGACTGGACCTCATGCCCAGACATTTTCTGAAATGGCAGCAACAAAAAGCAGGAGGATCCAAAGGAGAAGAGGACAGAAGATGTGCGGGAAAGCGGGCGTTTGGGACTCTGACCGAGCGCTTTCCTCCAGTTTGTCTGTCTTAACCAATCATTTTGTCCAAATCAATCACCAGAAGCAGACACCAGTGGTGGTGATTGGCTGGTTGCCTTAGCTGATTGAAACTGAAATCAACTCACTAGATCCCTGTGTTTGGGAGGGAGAGGTTTAGTGGCCGGAACGTAGTGCTGCTCCCCTTCTGCAGAGTCCGGTGGTCTTGGCTCGTCCTTTTCCCTCTGCCCCCACTTTAAGATGATGTCGTTCACCCTCCCCTGTAGTATCCTGCTCAGCCAAGGTCTGTGTGAGGTGATGATTCAGGGGCATTTTGGTGCTGTTCAGAGTGAGAGCTGAATTTAGAAGCTCCTTGAATGAGGAACACATCAGACTTAACCAATGGAGGCATCGTGAATGACCGCAGGGGAGCTTAGGCATGGCGTCACGAAATGGGGTCACACACGGGGTCAGTCTCATGGGGCGTCCATCCCGAGATAACTACAGCGTCGGAACAATTGCAAGGGGGCTTGTTCTGTAAGATTGGAATACTCAGACTGACATTTCTTGGAAATTTCTATCCTCACTTGTGTAAAATACCCTTCTGCTGTCCTCCATGTTTGACAGCAACCGGAGGCCACTTTGGTGGTTGGTAGGAGGGTTGTGTTATCCTCACAAGGGAGTTTTATGGACTTCTTCAGATGGGGGAACTTCTGAGAGCACAAGGCAGGATGGAAAAGACTGCTAGCCACTTTGCTTTCCCAGTTCCTCCTCACCCCCATTCTTCATTGCCCTTCTTGCTCCTCCCTCCCTCCTCCCCCTTTCTCTCTCTCTCTCTCTCTCTCTGTCTCAGCACAATACCAGTTTGGGTCTGTGCCCCAGTGTGGAGCAAAGCATTACCTGTCCCATTCTGATATACTTCAGAATTTGAGAGAAGGAGTTAATTTGAAACAAAAGTTTTCACCATCTCTCAAGCCCCATGGACTGGAGCCACCTCTCAAATAATGTGTTAAATATCTGTATATTATATATATGTAGAGAAAAATCTAATTTTTTTGTTTGATTTTCCTTCTTCCCATTAAGAATCTTGTCTTTTGATATCCTTTGTCCCCCTGGTACTCTCTCTCTTGGATACTGATGTGGACTGGAGCCTCCTCTGTTTTCCATCTTTTAGGGGCAGACAGATTCAGAACCTGAGCAGGATCACCTCCGGCAGTTACCGAACAGGGACTCGGTCCCTCTGTATCATGGAGTGCCCACTGCTGTCTAAATTCTGCTCTCCTAATTACCTGAGTCTTGAAAATGAAATCCTAACTCTTTCCTGCCTTTTTTCCTTCTTTTGTTAGGAAGAGCGTGGGTAGAGAGTCAGGACAGTAGTTTCCAGTTTAATTCTGCCTCTGGCCAAATCCCAGCACACACAGCTGATTCCCAAAAGACACTTCTTCCTAGGACGTGGGGCTGAAAGTGCCATCATGTGGGGTGGGTAGAACTGCTCCTGTCGGGCCCTGGCTTCCTTCATTTTGTGTTCTGTATTTGTTTTAGTTGTCTTGTTCAGAAATCTGCCCCTGTGCAGCCCACCCTTGGTTGAGGATCACAAATTGAGGTGCCTTCCTTGTATGCTTTTTGTTAGTGTTTTTCGTTTCTGTTCCTTAACTGCTGAGCCTCAGCCAGTGTGGGTCCTGGGGGAAATATCATTCCAGAGGAAGCCATCCCTGCATGGAAATTGGATTTATACTGGGTAAATTAGTACTTCTGTTCCTTCCTCGCCATTCCTCCCTCCCTAGCTGTGATGCACTTGAGAGACAGGCAACCGCTGGGGAGTTTCCTCCTAAGACCCCGATTCCCAACCTAAGCGCGGGATTGTGCTGGGGCTTCTTTCAAGGAGGCCCGCCAAGGCTGTGACCTAATCAGGGGGCTTTAGCCAGAGCAGGAATTCCTCAACCAAACTGAACGTCTCTGCTTTATCCCCCACCTTTCTTCCTCCACCATCTGCACTACATTTCCCAGCCTGATCCCCAGTCCGATTCCTGCTAATGGAGAAGCTTTGAGTCCTTCAGGTGAAATGAAGTCACATCAAAACAAAACTATATATATTTTCGTTTTTTTTGCCTTATTGTTTTTTTTCCAAGAAAACTACTAAATTAAATAATTTTTAAAAAGTCATATCGTTTGTCTGATTCACTTGACTCCTACTAGATAAGAAGTGGTGGTGGGAGGGGCTGGAGAACTGGCCGGGTGCTGCTTTGTTCTTGGGAATCAGCAGCTGATCCTTGTGAGAAATTGAAAGAAAAACGGGGAATGGGTTTCCAGATGTTTCAACTGTTCGACAACATTCTCAAGGGCCTGTGGACAGCAGAGGAGTTTTAACAGCTCCTTCCGCTTTAATGGAATGTAATCATCAGTGTCTCCCCTCTTGGTAGAGGGAAATCGTTTCTAGTGTGTTTTTGATGTTGGGCCTGTTTCACCTCAAAAAATAAAAGTTTTCTTGAATTCAATTTCTCTTGCCCATTTAGGTTCTCAGATTCTTAGTTGTTGTAGGGATTCAAATTCTATACTTTGAAACATGAGCAATTGAGTATTGATTTGAACGCCTTGGAGAGAAGACCGTGAAGATGCTTGTTCAGGGTTTCACTATAAAGTTCCGGGGGGATGGGGGGGTTGGGCAAAGGAATCAAAGGGGCCCAGAGAGGCTGCACACAGGTCCTGCCCTGCTGCTGAGCGTCTGCCTTTGCGTCCAGCTTGCTGAGTTAGGAATTCTGAACATTGTCCAGCTTACACTTGAACAATTTTAAGAGGTAAACGTTAGAGTCGTCATGTGAAATACAAAGAAAGGCACTGGGGGGGAGAAAACCCTAATTTAAATAAATTCACTAAGGTTACACAGCTGATCGGTTAGTCACGGTGTTGGAACTCAAAGCTGGGTTTGTTTGACCCCCGAGTCTGTGACCTCTACAACCTTGTGTTCTGGGAGAAGCTGGGTTGGAAGGCAGCTGACAGTGAAGTCATTTCCTCCTGGATTAGGTCACATCAGGCTGTAACGCACATTTCTGTTTCCAGAGGCTTAGTGATGTGGATAGCGTCACTTTGGAGGTCCTTGAAGGAAGGGGCATCCTTCAAGTTCAGCCTCCAGGCTCCTTGATTTCTCAGGGCTCTCATGTCCACAAAATTAGCTATGTTGCCAGAGATTGTTTTTCTAGCCCGGCTCTTAGGAAGGCTACCCATCTGTTCAAGTCATTTGCCTGATTCACATTGCTGGGCTTGATGGTTAAGTTTCAGGATCGTAAGGTTTTTTTTTTTTCTGGCAAGCTGAAAATCATTGCAGTAGACCCCTGCTATTTGCAAGAGCTACATCCGGCCATCTTGAATAGCACTGTGCCATAAAACTTCCTCCAAGAGGGGCAGTCAAATGTACCTGAAACATTTTAACAATCCCTTCTTTTTTTTTTTTTTTTTTAAGATTTTATTTATTTGACAGAGAGAGAGACACAGCGAGAGACGGAACACAAGCAGGGGGAGTGGGAGAGGGAGAAGCAGGCTTTCTGCTGAGCAGGGAGCCCGATGCGGGGCTCGATCCCAGGACTCTGGGATCATGACCTGAGCCGAGGGCAGACGCTTAACAGCTGAGCCACCCAGGCGCCCCTTAACAATCCCTTCTTTAGTCCTTTCATGGACTACTATGACCTGATGGGTCGTGATGTGGATTCCCAAGGGCCTACCACACTCATGATTCAAAATGATAACGCAGCAAAATTATAACCCTTGTCAGGGACCCCTGAAGTCCCCAAAAATTGGTAAACCTTTAAATTTCAGGGCCTACTCTACTTTCGGCAAGATAAGTAAAAACCAACCCTAAAAGGAGATGTAGAAATCTTTGGAAGTTATTCACTATAAAGTGTATACCTTGTGAAACTCTTAAGATTATCGTCAAAATGTAGAGCTTGCTTCTAAAAGTTATAAAGCTTTTGCCCCGTGACCTGCCCTGCCTTGTGGGAAGCATTCCAAGCCTCTCATGGCTTTTCCTTCCAAGCTCAGACAATAATCTGTAGTATTATTTTCCTCAGGCCTTCCTCCCTACAAGCTTTTCATTTCACACGGATTCCTCAGGGGAAGGAGGCAGGGTGGCCTCAGGAGGCATCTTTGAAGGCAAGAACTAAAGAGCTCGAATCTTCTGTAAAAAGCCTGGCAGAGGTCACATTTGAGTTTAAAAAGGTGATTTTAAAAGTTAGTAAAGAACCAGTTGGCCCTGAGATATGGCTTTCTCTCTCTCTCTCTGTTTTCTTCCCTCTGCCTCTCTCTCCTTTCTCTCTTTCAACATTGACTCCAGTCTGTTATGTAACATACATTAGGGATACAAATGACAAGAAAGAGCTCTGATAAACAGGCAATTACAGTCTGGTTTGATAAATGGCGTGAAAGCACTGGAGGGGGCCACCAGCCTATGGGGAGCGGGGAGGGACAGGAAAGAGGCACGTCAGAGAAGGCTTCTAGAACTAGGAGAACGTATCTGAGTTGAGAGTTGCAGGCTTAATAGGGGTTAAGGAAGGGCAGAGTATAGAAAGCAGCATGGACAAAGATGAAGAGCAAATTCTAGGAAAGCATCCTGAGTTTGGATGGCTGCATGAATTGCTAGAATTCAGAGTCAAGGAGGGAGCACTGATACCGTGCTGGAGAGAGCAAGGACCCAAGTTATGGAAGTCTATATACTATATAAAGATAGAAGTCTTGGGTTTTGAAACATGGTGGATGACGAGGACCAGCAGCAAACTACCAACACCATAGAAGAGCCCCTGGATCTCATCAGGCTCAGCCTGGATGAGCGAATTTAAGTGAAAATGAGAAATGACAGAGAGCTTCGAGGCAGATTGCATGCTTACCATCAGCATTTAAATATGATATTGGGAGATGTGGAAGAAACTGTGACTAGTATTGACTAGTATAGAAATTGATGAGGAAACATATGAAGAGATATATAAATCAGCAAAACGGAATATTCCGATACTTTTTGTCCGGGGAGATAGTGTTGTACTAGTTGCCCCTCCACTGAGACTTGACTAAAACAAAGAATTTATCGTGTAGGGAATATAGGAGATTTTGTATGATTGCCTCTTTAAATGTAGAAGACATTCAAAAGAGAAACCTGCGTAAATTTTGATATTAAGAAATGACCACGGATGCTTCCACTCCTGAAATGAGTTGATTTGCAGGTAACTCAAAAATTCCCTTTTTTTTTTTTTTTAAATATTTTATTCATTCATTTGTCAGAGAGAGACAGAGCACAAACGGGGGGAGCGGTGGGCAGAGGGAGAAGCAGGCTCCCCCCTGAGCAAGGAGCCCGATGCAGGACTTAATCCCTGGATCCTGGGATCATGACCCCAACTCAATCCCTGGACCCTGGGATCATGACCGAAGCTGAAGGCAGACGCTTAACTGACTGAGCCACCCTGGCATTGCAGATAACTCAAAAATTCTTAAGCTAAAGGACATTTTAATTTTTTTCTAACCCTTTCAATAAATGTGATCACCAAGATGAAGAACTCTTTTTTTCAGGAATTGATTTGTTCTGTTGTTTTCTCAGACAATTTCTGATTTTTTTCCTTTAAATTAAATTTGATGTTTCCTTTTTTGATTAAAAAAAAAAAAGATAGAAGTCTTGGTTTTTGCTCTCAACTAGGGAGCCCATGAAGGATTTTTAAGTAGGGTGATGGGTTCCAGTGTGGATATACAGGTAGGAAGATCAATGAAGAGGTTGGAGAAGATTTAAGAATGAAGAGAAGTGGAGGGATTCCAGAAATACTGAACTCGAATGAACAGCACTTGGGTCTGATTACAGGTGGAGAGCAGAAGGATGGTGGGAGGAAATTGTGTTTTTCTGCCTTGGGAAACTTAGATGGAAGGTGGTAGTAAGTTTAGAGGGAAAGATAGGTTCATTTTTGGACATTCTGAGCTGGCCATTCCCATGAAGAGGTTGAGTAAGCAATTTAAAACATGGGTCTCTTGGTAATAGCTACATTTTTGTGAGACTCAGGAATTCACCCAGTCAATTTA